GTTGTGCACGTTGAGCCAATGCAGCTTTTGATAACACATTATCATTGTGTGCCTAAAATGAGAATATTATATAATTAGGTGCATAAAATGTGAAGATTGTCCCATCTCTTGCTTCCCTTTTATCATGTATTTGTTCTCAAAAGTTTAACTAACTTTTCTTCTTCGCTCGGTTGAGTTGTTAGTCACATAAGAACCAATGCGTGTATTGATAAAATTTTAAAAGGGAGGAAAAAAACTCATGGAATTTCACCAAATGCCAAAAAGGCACTATCCATCTAGTGTATACCCGTGCCTAAAGGCACGGTGTAAATAATATTGGTACACATATTCTACAAAAATCAATTAACATAAATTATTAATATTGGTATCACATCCTTTACAAAAAAATTAATTCAAAATGATAATAATTTCATTGCTACAGAAATCAATTATAACAAATCAATTCAAGATGATAATAATTTCACTACAATATAAAACTCCACACATAAGACTTCCTCCACCATCTACAGCAACACCACCGTCGTACGATGGCGGTTCATTTAAGTTAAAATGTAATTTATCAAATTCATTGCTAAAAGTTTAAGTTAAAATATTAATTCATATTTGTAAAAGCATTGGCTGCATTGTACAATCGAGTATAACTTCGAAAGGATTTTGATTGATCATTATTCCCATCATACAACGCTTGAAGTGATGGAGGAGGTGTAATAAGTAAAGGTAGCCTAATCTTTCCTTCCAAACAGCAAGTTCCGAATAAGGGATGCTTTATAGATGATTTGGTCAATTTTTCATCCATCCAATGTAAGGCTGAACAATAAGGACATAATACGTCCATCTTGCCAAGATAATGGCGGCACGAATTGTTGTGTGCTCGGGCATCAATTGATGTACTCATAGGCATATCTTCTAATTCATCATCAGTATATAGATCTTCTTGAAGAAATTGATTTATGGAAGTAGACCTACGAATATTTGTGTATAAATAAAATTCTACAAAACAAAATGGTAAGAATATGTATTTCAAGTTTAGACATAGTAGTTTACCGATTCCTTTGTGGTGGCAAAGATGTGCTTGGCATAGAAAACGAACATGTAGAATGATGGGCAACCATTGTTCGTTTTTGTGCCGAATGAGAATCTTCGGTTAGTGTTTCCCATTCCAGGCAAGCACGATTGCGACGATTTGGTGCTAAAGAAGGGTGTATTGGTTGAATACATTCTTCTGATCCGTCTTGTTCTCGTTGCGAGCATTGAAAGTATGACTTTTCATTTTTTTCACGCTCTCGTCGTGCACGTTGGGCCAAAGCAGCTTTTGATATTACATTATCATTTTGTGCCTAAAATGAAAATATTTTGTCATTGGTGCAAACTATGTGAATATTTTGTACTTAACATGAAATATCGTCTTGTTTATTTTGTTTCTCTTAATTTTGTTTTATATTTTATTTGTTTTATACCTTTAATAGTGTTATATGTATTTATTTCGTACTCTACATGAATTTTGTTTTTTATAAAAAAAAATAAAGAAGAAATAAAAATCTATCTTATTTAGTTTATTCTTTCATTACATAGTTTGTCTTTATTTGTTCGTTTTTTATTTTTTTCTTATTCTTTTCACATGTTACATTATAAATGCACATGTATCTATGGTAAATAAAAATAAATAAATTTGGAAAACACATATAAATAGTAGCAAATTATAGGCAAATATATTACAATCATTCTACGGGCAGAAACATAAAGCAACAAATTCACATAGTTTTGCTTCATATTTTGTAAAAGGAATATATACCACTTGACATGCATTTGTCATTTTCTTGCCAGAAGAAGTCACCTTTTCTTTTCCCTTAGACATTGGATTGACCTTTTCTTTTTCTTTTGCCTAAAAAATATAAATAAAATATTGAAAAGATTTAAAAAAATCTATATAAATAAAAATACATACAATGTTTTGCTTGATTTTTTACCTACCGCACGAACACGAATAACATTAAGGTCATGCTCATCACGGATGACCACACCAACATTTCTAGATGGGGTTGTAGGAGCAGGCCTACAAAAATGTATTGTGAATAATTAAAATCTGTATAATAAAGTGGTAATAGTAAGAGTATATATTTCAAGAATTAAACTGAGTTGTTTACCAATTGGGTGTTACAGAAGGTTGTCTTGGGTTAATACATTCATTTGATCTCTCTCGTTCCCGTCGCATGCGTTGTCCTAATTGGTATGCAGAACATGAGTTTTGATTTTTTTCACGTTCTCGCCGTGCACGTTGAGCCAATGTAGCTTTTGATAACACATTATCATTGTGTGCCTAAAATGAGAATATTATATAATTAGATGCATAAAATATGAAGATTGTCCCATCTCTTACTTCCCTTTTATCATGTATTTGTTCTCAAAAGCTTAACTAACTTTTCTTCTTCGCTCGGTTGAGTTGTTAGTCACATAAGAACCAATGCGTGTATTGATAAAATTTAAAAAGGGAGGAAAAAAACTCATGGAATTTCACCAAATGCCAAAAAGACACTATCCATTTAGTGTATACCAGTGCCTAAAGGCACGGTGTAAATAATATTGGTACACATATTCTACAAAAATCAATTAACATAAATTATTAATATTGGTATCACATCCTTTACAAAAAAATTAATTCAAAATGATAATAATTTCATTGCTACAAAAATCAATTATAACAAATCAATTCAAGATGATAATAATTTCACTACAATATAAAACTCCACACATAAGACTTCCTCCACCATCTACAACAACACCACCGTCGGCCATGACTTCAGCAGGTATCGTACGATTGCGGTTCATTTAAGTTAAAATGTAATTTATCAAATTCATTGCTAAAAGTTTAAGTTAAAATATTAATTCATATTTGAATTTTTTATAGAATTTTACCATCTAAAAAAAGTATAGAATTTAAAATCGCCATATGTTAACACATTTTTAAAATTTTAAAATGTGATTTGAGTTGAATCATATACAAACTTTAGTGTATTTATGAGAAAAATCTATATATATATCTATAATGTATTTAAACAATGTCACCTCAAACATTTTTTGAGTCGTATGTATTTAAATATTTTTTTGATTAAAATAATATTAAAAGAAAAAATAAGTAAAAAATGTGTTTAATCATTTAACATTTTTTTTTCCTCATATATATCATATCTAATTATTTAAAAATTGAACAATCTTGCTAAACATAATTATTTTAACCTACTAAAGTAACCAAAAAATTAAAATAACTTACTAAATTAACCAACCTTCCATACACCTCCTATAATTCTGCGTGGCTTTATTAATTTTTTTAGAGATCACACTCATGTTGCTAATTGCACTCATATTTTTTGTCCTACGTTGAAAAGATAAATATTAGATCATTGAGTACGTATAATGTGAATATTAGTGTGTAATGTTTTCTAGTTTCCGCTTCCCTCTTCGTTCTTCGTGTTCTTTCCGTTATATTATAAGTAAAATTAAAATTTTAAAAATCTATATTCTATAATTAAAAACTTCATTTCCTTTTTCGTTTTCTTCTCTTATATGTTTATTATGATATGTTGTAACTGCAACATGTGTTCAAATTAATGTTCAGACAAATGCATTAACATATTGTACAAATGCTTACTTTAACATGGTTTACAAAAATATTTTACAATCAGTCACAACAATTGAATAAATATTTTAAAAACAATAACTCATAAAAATATACATAAAAAAGAGTATATGACATTATGCAATTGTAACAAAAAATAAATATTCGAAAAACAAACTTTTTAAAAATGTTTAGAAACCATACTACGGGATTTGCATGTTCCTTTCCTTTGCCAGAAGGGATAGCCTTTTCTGTCTCATTTGATATTGCTTTGCGTTTTTCCTTTTCCTTTCTCCATAAAAAATAAGTAGAATATATAATTCAAATATATTTTTAAAATGATAAGAAAATGCATGCCAATATAAGTTACTTGTAGGCTTACCTCACGAATGCGAATAGTATTAAGGTCACGCTCATCGCGGACAACAACATTAACATTTCTTTCTTGAAGAAATTGAATCTATATATACAAAAACTTTAGAGTGATAAATAAAATTTTGTACACATAAATAAGAAAAAAAAAATCATTTCTTTCTTGATATTACCGTTCGGCGTAAGTCTTCATCCACCTATAAAGTATGAGGGAAAAAAATTTATTAGAAGAAAATTAGATGTGATAAGTTTAAAATAAATAAATAAATAGGCCTTACATTATAAGAGATGTATTTAAATTTCTATGGAGGGAGAAAAAAAAAAATTAAAGAACACTTACTTGACCAAAAATAGTGATATTGTCCATAATTATTGTACTTCAACCTGAAATGTTTGGTTATATAGTTATGGATGTTCAATGATGTATTTTAACAATCACATTAAAATGATAAAATTAAAATCAACCCTAGCAACATGTAGAGTACTAAAATGAGAACACAACAATTGTCCAAATTTGAACTCTTCTTTTCCCCAACTAACTTCAATTTTATGATTATAATTTAGAAAGTCCAAACATAAATGTATGCCACTAAAAAAAAAAAAAATGTTTAAAGGAATCTCACATCAGCAATATGTCTTACCAATAGAAACAATATATAAAGGAAAAAAAAGTTACAAATCCATGGAAACCAAATCTTCTTGGAAGGCGATCAGCCTCTGTTTCTTGACTCGGTAATATTCCTCTTTTAGCTACTTGTTTTTAGTAGTTGTGTGCTGAATGTGATTGTGCTCATTAACAACAATGTTACTAAGGAGGTTGTTTTGACATGGAAAATTTGGACGTTGTTAAGTTATTTATTTTTATTGTTTTTCAATTATTATTGTTCTAATAATTCATATGAATTTGAATTTATCTTATTTTTTTGTAATATATAAAGAATAAAATTACCCCTCTCTAAAACAATTATTTTTTGATCCCGAAAATGGATGTGCAGAAAGGCTAAATAAAATTACCCCTCTCTAAAACAATTATACCGTGTAAAGGATGTGATACCGATATTAATAATTTATGTTAATTGATTTTTGTAAAATATATGTACCAATATTATTTATACCGTGTCTTCAGGCACGGGCATACGCTAGTATATCTATATAGGACATGAGTCTACCCTGATAGGTGTAATTAAAATATAAATTTTAATTTTGGATTCATACTATATTTTTTATGTTGTTTTAGTGATGAAAGTATTTTTTAGTAAGTCAAGTAAATAGTCTTAGTAGAAATTAACACTTGACATAAGAAGAGAAAGCTACTTGGTAAAAGAGAGAAGGAAATTCATGAATAATAGTATAAATTGATAGGATAGAACCATAGATCATGCCACTATGCCACATACATTAGAGCCAATGGAGACCAAAGTTATCATGTTCATACTCATTCAGAAACTGATTAAAGATACAATCTGTTCTTGAATGGGATTAAAGTAAAATTGAATCAGTTTCTGCAGATTGATTTTTTTTTTAATTTTATAAAATATTAAATTAATTAAGTATAATATAAATAATTTTTAAAATAATAACCTGTAAAAAAATATCTTACAAAATGCCATTGAAATTTTAAACACAAAGATCTATACATAATAAAGATAGCTATTGCTTAAAACAGAGTTCGTGATCATTAATTCATCACTCCTTGGGGTTATAGCTAAAATTCAAATCAACCATGAATGAAGTCTTCCTTGCTTGGCAGTTTCATCCATACATTAGAGCCAATGGAGACCAAAGTTATCATGTTCATACTCATTCATTAGAGCCAATGGAGACCAAAGTTATCATGTTCATACTCATTCAGAAGCTGATTAAAGATACAATCTGTTCTTGAATGGGATTAAAGTAAAATTGAATCAGTTTCTGCAGATTGATTCACTTAAATGGGATTATTCAATCAATCTGCAGAAACTGATGATCATCACATTAAACTGCAGAAACTCATTTAATTAGATTGCAGATTGATCATCAGTTTCTGATTTAATGAGTTTCTACAATCTGATCCCATTTAAACTGATTAAAGTGAACAGAAACGTTATGAAGAGGAGAAAACAGAATTCAAAACTCGAATTCCTCCGAATGTGAAATACAACAGAGAGGGACCAAAATTACCTTGCGAAGGGAACAACCAAGGGTGGGAGAGAGGGAATCTTGCGAGTGGTGATGATGAGCAGCGGTGCAATCTGATCGCAAGAACAAACTGATTAAAGTGAGAGAGGGAGGAGGACAGGAATACCTTGGCCAAATTGAAACGTAAAATAAAATAAAAAAAAAAGTGTAGACATAAGACAAAGTAAAAGAAGATGAAGATAAAGATAGATGGACCAATTCCAAAAATAGTGCTGAAAACTGATTTTAGATACAATCTGTTCTTAAATGGGATTAAAGTAAAATTTACTTTTATAAAAATTATGCAATTAGCTAATATATTTTTTGAATGGATCTGTTAAATTTTTTAGCTAAATGGGTTAGTGATGTCAATCTGGAATGGGGATACTTCATTGCAATTACTGTAGCCCACCATGTGCATGTACATGTATTGACTGATTGTAGAGTAAAACAAACCCATTTCCGTATCCCCAGTAGAAATCCAAACAGTAGAAATCCAAACAGTTTCTGCAGATTGTAATAGAAATCCAAACAGTAGTTACCCTCATAACAACATAAAAAAATAATAAAACAAACCCATTTCCCTATCCCCATTCCCTGTCACAAAAATCTCTATAACCCTCTTTGTTTTGTGCTTCTTAATTCTTTCTTTTCTCCACTTTCTGATGAACACAACAGGCTAACAAAATCTCTTCTGTCTCCTATTATTCATTTGCTTCCTTTATTCTTTCTGTTAATTTGTTGCGCAGATCAAAACCATTCATAAACAAACAAAATAAACAGACAAATAATGATAGATTAATCTGGTGTTTGTGCTTTTGAGAAATTACAGCAATGGAACAGCAAGTGGAGTTTGCAGCAGGTAATGATGTTGTCAATCTTCTCGCAAGAACAAACTATTTAATCTGTTGTTGATCATTCAGAATTTTGATCATTCAGAATTTTGGAGTAGATAATTGTCAAAACTCGAAGAAGAGAAAAACCCTAAAGCAGAGAGAGACCAAAATTACCTTGCGAAGGGAACAACCAAGGGTGGGAGAGAGGGAACCTTGCGAGAGGTGATGATGAGCAGCGGCGCAATCTGATCGCAAGAACAAACTGATTAAAGTGGAATTGAATTAGTTTCTACAATCTGATCCCATTTAATCTGTTCTTGATCATTCAAAAAATACAACAGAGAGAGGGAGGAGGACAGGAATACCTTGCGAGTGGTGATGAAGAGGAGCGTCGCAAGAACAAACTGATGAGAACAGAGAAGGGAGAGGGATATAAAGATAGAAGGCATGAGAGACGTGTGAGAAGAGAGAGATAAAGATGGAATAGAGGGGAGACGTGGGGAAGGAGGAGGCTGACTCTTTGGGCGGGAAGATATATATTTAGGATTGATATAAAATTAAGGGGGTTATCTGAGCCATCCATGTGAATATACAAATGAATCATGACCCTTGAAATGTCCTAGTAGGACAATTGTGTCTAACACATTTTCAAAATCCGTTCTGCTTTATTATATAGATGGTATAATCTATTTGATTCCTATATTATTAGTTTTGTATTTCATTATTTAATAATAAAAAAAATAATTGTTTTTTCATTTCTATTTAATTTTATTTTATATATTTTTCTAATATTATTATGAAAAAATACCAACAATCTTAAAATAGGTTTTTATAAATATTTTTGATAAAACAGTTTAGTTTTTATTATAATTTTATTCTAGTAACCCTTGGAATTAAAATTAATTTAATTTCCTAGAGTTATTTGATTTGAGTTGTTTATTTCTAGTAATTTATTCATGCAATTTATTTTATGTTATTTAGGTATTATTGCATGAGTTATTTGGTTATTAGTGCTTGAGTTACTAATAATTGATAAAATAAAATAAGGATTTTATTTTTTAAGGTTCTTACTAATTTATTTGATTGGTTTGTTATTTGTTTTCTTTTGTCGCTAATTTTCTCTACATGTTTACCTAAGCGTGAAATGATGATATATAATACAAATGAACAAAACAAATTGGAACTAGTAATTTGAATTACTAATTTTTGATTTGAACAGAATTACCTTTGCATGGAACAAGGAATAATATTGGGCCTTCGGATTTTTAGACATACTGGTGAATTTAATTATTCACTTTCCAGTTCGGTTTTATTTTGGATTTAATTCATGTATTAGTTTGGAAGCTTTTTTAACAACTTTGATTTTTTTGATTAGTTGAATTCGGAAGGGGAAAAAAATGAAGTGTTTTTGGTTAAATGAGCTGTATACCACACAAGTCACCAAATGCTAGTCAATCGATATCGCTTGCGTGATTGTTTGCATTCTCATATAACATTCATGTTGCATTCTAAGGTGGATGGATCCTAAGAGACTATTAGTGCATGGCAAAATAACTTTGCATTATAATGTCTTTAATTTTTATTTATTCTATTAATTAATTGTTGTATCGGTTGTGAGTCATTTTATGTCTTGATGTATATAATCAAGTGAATTACTCCAAACGTTATTGTACATTGTTGTAATAATGAGTGGAATTTAACTATGCTTTATAAGATTATGTCATGACTCCAAACTCGTCCCTAGAGGTTTAAGCCGTAACCGGCTAGTAATCCTAGATTACCCGGCCTCAAAGACAGAATTAACAGAATATATATTTAAATATACAGGCCTGAAATGGAAGCAAAATATAAAATTTGTCCATTGAGTTGTACATACATGGCATGAACGAAAACAGATAAAACACATCTCACATCATACCATAATATTTACAAACATTTATCTTTTATACATAACCCAAGATCACAAATATAACTTAACAGAATTTAAGCTTAACTGAGCTCAACCAAAAGCAAAAGCAAAAAGCCTCAATGCTGAGGCACATCTCGGGGGGTTTCACAAAAGGCTGACTCCAAAGCGATCTCTAATGCTGAACTTCCTGATGCTCACCTACACACATATATATAAACGGAGTGAGCTGGAAGCCCAATGAGTAATCTCAATGTAAATGGGTTAAATGAATGAGTCTCATAACTTATCAAAACAATATAAAGTTCTTGGGATAAATAAAGCTTGTTTTGAAAACATATAATAACAAATATAGTTTATCAAACCTTTCATAACTTAACACATAGCAAATTGCTCGAAGGCCTTATTTTACTTATCAAAATACCACACGGAACATTCATATAGAATGACTTCATTCGGAACACCTTTATTGGTGTCTCATACAGAACATCACACATGAAGACTTATGCGGAACATCAATTTGATGACTTATCCGGAATGCAGAACATCACAATGATGCCTTATACAAAATGCGAAAAATCATTTTGATAACTTATACAGAACATCACTTTGATGACTTATGCTGAACATCACATTGATGGCTTATACAAAACATCACTTTGATGACTTATACTTGATGAGCTCATTTAGAACGTCTTATACGTGTAGATACCATACAGAACGATTAACATCAAAAACTTGCAGAACGTCAATTACGTGTGGATTCCATACAAAATGATTACTATAGAAGCCATGCAGAACAATCATCAAATATCAACATCATACAGAACGTTTACAATGGTTCAATAACTTATACAAAACGTCACTTATGGATCATAGACAAAATAGTAGTTATCAAATGATCAAAGCACATTTTCATAATCGTCATTCAAAAGGAAACTCATTCATTCTTTAGCAAATCTCATTTTCGGAAACCTGATCACATTGTATACAAGTCGGTGTTTCAAAGCATAACTTAGCATCTGAAAGGACTTATTCAAAAATCTTGACATATCTGATAACTAGTGAAAAGTATAGGTTTCATAATTCATCGTATAACAAAAATAATACCAAAGTAGTTCATACAAAACTACCGTAACAAAGACATTACTCACCTTGACTAGTTCGATGTTCTCTCTCAACGATCGAACCTACACATTACACATAACCATACACATTGTAACTTATATTCGAATCGAATAATTCTTCTTATCTTTTCTAATTCAATTACTTATGTTGGTTTCTTACTTATTAATCTTCAATGATTCATATATCATGCCTAAGAATGCTCAGAAAGACATGTGGATGGAAATACAAACACAAAACATCTTTTTAAAATATGCTGAAACATGGTCCTTTGCTCGAGCCAATTATTGGTTGCTCGAGCGGTCATAGAGGTCATCAAAAGTACTTGATGGGTCTGATGTGCACTCGAGTCAACTATTGGTCGCTCGAGCGGTTTGCAAAGATTGCAAAGATGTTGGAAGCTCATCAAGTTTGTTCAAGCCACCGCTTGGTCGCTCGAGCAGTCTGGTAAAATTTTGGGTTTCAAAACTAAAAGTTTGAGCTTCCAAATGCCAATTCAAAGCCTTAGGTCATGCATGGCTCATTCAAAAACTCATTCAAAAACACAAAGTTACTTTGGAGAATATGTATACATGACCCCTTAAAAATCATTTGCTCAAAATCATTTTAAATCCACCAAAATTGAACTCAAAAGTTCATAGATGTAAGATTTTCCAAACTCTTTTCTCAAAACTCATGTATTTACCAAAATTGAGCTCAAAAGCTCCATGCATGTGCAAAACTCTTTTCCATGATGAATCAAAGATGCATGTACAAATTAACTTACAATTTCAACATGGATGATCAAAACCAAACTCAAAGTGGTGGTAATACACAATATATTGATGCATGCATGTAAAGCTTCAACACTTTCTTGAGATCCTTTAACAAAATATATGCAAATGATCATGTTAATTCCATGAACTCAACTCTGAAACACATTATCTTCAAGAATTAAGAGTTAAATTCTTACCTAGAGCCTTTGAACTCAACTCTGAAACACATTATCTTCAAGAATTAAGAGTTAAATTCTTACCTAGAGCCTTCAAATACACTAGTTCTTGCACAATCTTTACCAACTCTAGGTAAATCTTCAAGTTCTCCTTCAATCTTCTACTTTCTCTCTCTACATGAGAGCTCACTCTCTCTCTCTAAAAGTGTAATCTCAGAATTTTGCACTTAAAATGAAGAGGATGAGCTCAAAATGAGGTTAAGGCACACACACACACACATATATATATATATATATAACTAGGATGGCTTAATAAATTAATTAGAACATTAGGCTAATTAAACACAACTTAATTAATCAAACTGAATCAATTTTTAATCAAACTTACCAAATGGCTCTAAAAATTTCAATTAATATATTCATGTAGCCAATTTCGGTTTCTGAAATCATTTAAGCCATCAATTTCGAATTCTGAACAGAAATCATAGTAGATAGTTTTCAAATCAGACAAATATACACAAATTAATCACATGGCACATATCATAATTAAAACATAACACATAATTAAATAAATATGATTATGATATGCATGTTGGGGTCGTCACAGATTATTTGCTCAAAGTTGGAGTTTATGACCATAATATTGTTATATGTGTACTTATTTCATGGCCATGAAACTTATGACATTCTTGTAACTGCAATGCATCTATAGCTGCTTGAATTACACAATGCGAGTTATAGCTTAAATTACTTATGTAATATGCATTATATGATTTATTGGTTCATTAACTCATCTAAATCCAGGCGTGTATATAAACAGTGAGCATGGAGGTTTAGCGGCAACGTAGATAGAGTTTTGTACACATCCCCTTTACATGGAATAGAGCACTGAGTTTATTTTTTGTATTGTGTTTTATACAAAGATAAGCAGACAATTCGTAAGGATGGTTTCAAGTGGAGGAGTGTGTTCTTGGCTAAATAGACCATTCCGGACGCAGCTGTGAAATTTGTCTATGTAGATTTGGACAATTTATAATTGTAATAGTTGCATTTCAATTCGTAGTAGTTCACCATAGTGCAAGGAAAGGGAGAAGGAAAGAAAATTATAAACCTTCAGGTTTAGAGAAAATTTTTGGGATTAATTTTATTATTCCCAAAGTATTTTGGTTTTCTATAATAGAAACCAAATTTTAGATTTGGCTAGAGTATTTCTAATTTGTATTTAGAAATGGCAATTAAAATGGATAGTTTCAAACCTTTGGGGTTAGAGGAAGTCTTTGGGTTTAATCTTTTTATTCCTAAAGTGGTAGAAAACCAAGTTTTGGAAAAGTCTTTGATTATAATTCTGATTATTT